TTAAACATATATATATTATTATGTATTATATATAAACATATTTGTAATATAAATATATTTTTGTAATACTGGTATGCTAATTAGATGGATAAAATTCTTTTTTTGGAGTGGTGGGTAACATTTTGCTTAATTTGGGTTCAAAATTGTTATTCCCTGTCATCAAAATGGATTGCAAATGTTCATCTGTTGATCCTGATCTGTAATGAAGTTCTATAAATTTCATCTTTGAAGAATGTATTTTCACATAGTACTGCCCAATTCTCATATCAATTATAGGGATATACTTTTAATTGAACACATTAATCTCTTGGAAGGCAATTATGGAATTAGACTATTCTCTTGATTTGCTTGTTAGCATGTCAGATTAATCACTTCTAACTGAATGTTAGGTGAAAGCTCCTTGTGATGGTTAAGATTGCATGTCAACTTGGCTAGGCCATGATTCTCCGTGTTTTAATATAATCACTCCCGTGACTGAATATACTGTGAGTAGCCAATCAGTTGAACGGGAGTGTCCTTGGGGGTGTGGCCCACATTTGTATATAAGCAGACGTTCTGACTTTTTGCTCTTTCTGGATCCTGCGGCTGCTTCCTGTCATCTCATCTCCTGCTCTTGGGACTTGAGCTGTCAGCTTATCTGCTGAACCTGGGATTCGTCAATCTGCACAGCCGGTGAGTGGGAGCCCTGCTCTCCGACCTTCCGATCTTGGGCTTGCCAGCTTCTGCAGCTGTGTGACTTGGGAGAGGCCTCTACCCTGATCCACAGACTTGGGACGTTCTAGCCTCTACAATCCCGTGAGCTGTTTCCTTGATATAATCTCTCTCTCTATATATATTTATACACTTTACTGGTTTTGCTTCTCTAGAGAACCCAGCCTAAGACACTCCTCAATTGCACAGTTTAAATGGACTTTGAAATATGGAAATTTTTTTTCCACTTGCACTGAGATCTGTAAAACACTGTGTCTTAGTTTCCTAGTCCTGTTATAATAGAAATACCACAAGTAAATGGCTTTAAGAACATTCATATTTAACTGGTATTCTCTATTTCATCTGGCAACCCTAACTTCTTGGGATCTACTTGCAGGGATTTTGTGAAAATTAGAGGTAATATATGCAACATAGTTATTGCAAAGCCTAGCACAGAGTAGAAGATAAACCACAATCATGATAATAATAATGATATTAGGAAATTGAATACTCATTTGGGGCTTCTATATAACCCATGGAACCTTGGTGGCACAGTGGTTAAAACACTTGGCTGGTAACTAAAAGGTCAGCAGTTCAAATCCACCAGCTGCTCCCTGAAGAAAGATTTGGCAGTCTGCTTCTGTAAAGATTACAGCCTTGGAAACTGTATGGGGCAGTTCTACTTCGTCCTGTAGGGTCACTATGAGTTGGAATCAACTTGATGGCAATGGGTTAGATAACCCATGGATAGACATTTCATCGTGGCAGTCAGTCCTTCCATCCAGGAGGTCATAGATAAGGAAGCCGAACCATAAAAGGCTACCAATAAATACTAATCAGAGAAGAAAATGTTTAATTTTATCTTGCATGAATAGACTTTTTTACTGTAAGAAAAATTGGTGCATTTTCAAAATCTTTACAGTGTCAAAAATTCTTTATATTAATAAGATCCTAGGTTTAAAACTTAAAAACTCCTAAATTATTATTATATTTACTTCCTTCAAATGTTAAGTTCTCATTCTCAAGGTAAATTGCACTGTCCACACCTTTTGCTTTAGTATCCTGCCTACCTCGTCTCTTAACTCCATCTTGCCTAACTTATGTCCTAATACTCTACTGAAACTGCTTTGTTGAAGGTTACCATCTACTATTACAACAGTCTCCTTCCTGCCACGATGATCTGTACCTTCTAATCCATCCTGCTTTATGATCAGTTTAACCTTTCTAAAACACGTTTCATTATGTCAATCCCTCACTCAAAAACACGTAATGAAAACTAGTGGTGGGAAATAGCGTGAGGCCAGATTATTGTGGTTTTTAGAAGTTGAATTTCAAGTGGGACGTTTTTGAGGACAGGAGTAACATGATAACTTGATCATGCCAGTAACAGTGGGCTGGATGAATTCGAGATGGGGGAGATGAGTCAGGCAATCAGCTGTTGCAGGGATCAGGTATAGTGTGCTGGCAAAAAGGAAAGTCTTCCTTGTGGGGCCTGCGCCTGTCAAAGAAATGCTGCCTTGCCAAGAGGTCATAGCGTTGGTTAGTAGAATCTCCTAAACTGGTTGGAGCTTGTAAGCTTTAACATATATAGAAGACAATGCAATTTATTTTAAGTGTGGTAATTTGATTTTAGATATAACAGCTGTATCTGAATATAAAAGTTTCTGTCCTGTCACTTTAAAGGGTTGCTGGGTCACTTGGGCATGTGGGGCCTTGCTCAGGAACACCCAGGGGTGGATTATTCAATAGGCAAGGTAAGCTTGGTGCTTACCTTGCTTACTAGATCATCTGTAGTGAACAATTTCACATTTTTCACCACATCAAAGATTCTGCTTCTAGTTACAGCTGGCATCTGTCCCTCTCCCAAACCCACAGCACCTTCTTACAGAATCAAAGCCTCTTTTCAAATTTCCAATTCCTGACAGGGGACAGATCACTCAGTAAGCAAGGTAAGCACAGGCTTATTTGTGCTTACATGCTGATCTGTAGTGACCAATTTCACACTGACCAATTTCATATGGAAATTGGTCACTAGAGACTAGTAAAAAAGCACCAGTAGCCTGTACTTACCTTGCTTACTGGGTAATCCGCCCCTGGAAACACCTGTCCACTCTCTTCAAGAGTCATGATTATAACTGGTTAGCCCCATAAAAGGAGTCTTTTGGCTCTTTCCTCAGAACACCAGGGCAGATGAACCGACCAAAACTCTGGTTCAGTTATTGCTGTAAACTTGCAGGAAGCTGTGCACCTCAAGTACTCTTCAGACTTGCAGAGCTCCTCTCCCAAGTCGTTACCCTTTTAAAGTGGAGAGAACTGTAAACGCTTTCTCTCTGTTTGGGCTAGAGACTCTCCTCAATCCTTACTGCTCATTCCAGGGAACAAGCGTTAACAGGACACAGCATTGAGGCTTGCTTTATTCATATATAGTAAGTCTGTGTTCTCTACATAAAGGGTCTCTTGGTTAGAGGGAAAAAAAATCCTACTCAATTTCTTCTTCAGAACTAGCATATTTGTCTTCAGACTAAAACAGTGGGAAACAGTAAAAAAAAAAAAAAAAAAAAAAAAGGAGTTAAGGCAGGTGCAGTCAGACAGATAGGAGGAGAACCAAGGAAGGAGGGAATACTTACAGAATCAAGTGCCTGGAAATTAAAAAGATGAGTTACTGGATTTTCCCAAACAGAAATTATCAGAGACATTGGAGATTACGGTTTCAGAAAAAGGTGAGATCAGAATAAAGACTAAAAGAGAGAACGAGTGAGCTAGTGTAGAAAGTGGAAACTCGCTTAGTATATCCTATGGTGCTGTCAGGTTAGTTTCTCACTTCCTGTGAGCACAGCTTCATGACCACCTGCAGCCTATGCTCATGTCTTTTCTTTCTTTTTTTTTTAATTGTACTTCAGGTGAAGGCTTACAGAACAAATAGTTTCTCATGAAACAGTA